TATACAACCTTTCCAGAGAACATAAGGTGGAAAACCACAAAACTCACTTAATCAAGCTAACAGAACCATTATAATAAAGCCAGAAAAAATATAATGAAAAGGAAGAAAGATTATAGGCCTGCCTCTCTTGAGTACAGATGAAGAATCTCTAAATATTAAACTAATGCATCAACGTGTAAGAAAAATAGATCTCATAACCAAGCTGAGTTTATTCCAAAATATAACCATACCTCTACATTAGAAAATCAGTGTAAATCATATTAATAAATTAAAAAAGGAAGAAAAGCATATGATCATCTCAAAATACAAAGAAACCTATGAGTTTGTTGCAAATATTTTGGTGGTTTTAAAGAATGCCCACAAATTCTTTGTAAGTGTGGGCTAGACTTTGATTCTCTTTCAATGGACAAAATGTGGTAGAAGTGATGCTTCGTGGCTTCCAAGGGTAAGTCATAAAAAGGATAGCTTTCTTCTGGCTCTCTTTTTCTCTTGATTACTGACTCTGGGAAAACCCACCTACCATGCTGCAGGGATACTTAAGCAGATCTGTGGAGAGACCCATGTAAGTAGGAACTCAGCTCTCCCACTAACAAGCAGCACCAACTTGCCAGCCATGTGAATAAGCCACCCTGAAAGCAAATCCTCAAGCCCCAGTCAAGACTTCAGATGACTACAGCTCTAACTGACATCTTGACTTCAATCCCATGACAGACCCTGAGCCAGAATCACTGAGCTAAGCCACTACCAAATCCTGACTGGCAGAGATTATGAGAGAGAATAAATGTCTATTGCTGTTTTGGAAAAAAACAAACAAACCCTGACATAAGAAGAAAACTTGAAAAAACTATAACCATTTAAAAAAAACTTGAAATTGTGAGTAACCTTGCTCTCTACCCCCTATAGAAAAAAGTCATAATCCAAGGAAGTTTTACAGTTGAATTCTACCAAGTTTTAAAGAAACAGATAACACCTATCTTTTGCAAATTGTTCTATAAAATACCAAAGCAGAAAGATGCCTAATTTATTTTAAAACTATAACCATGATGACCACTGAATTTGAACAGAACAAGAAAATTATAGGCAAATTTCACTTATGACTATACACAAAACTCCTAAATAAAATATTAGCTAATTTATTTTAAAAATACATGCAAAAACTCGTCTGCTAACCCTAGAGGTGACTATTAGTAATTAAAGTGAAAGAAGTGTAAATACATCTCCTGCTCTTTTAACATTTAGGGTAACCAAATAGCTCTAGTTATTGAGGGAAAGTTCCCTCTATAGAAGAACCTCAGCCAATACATATAGAAAGAATGGTAGAATTACAAAAACAACATTGCAACTCCTAATTAAATAACTGACTTAGATAAGGATCATCCATGAGTCTTAATATCATTAGGTAAAAGGTTAATAAAGAAATGAATAGTTGGTGGGTGTGGTGGCTCATACCTGTAAGCCTAGCACTATAGGAGGCTGAGGCAGTAGGATTGCTTGAGCTCAGGAGTTCAAGACCAGCCTAAGCAAGAGTGAGACCCCACCTCTAGAAAAAAATAGAAAAAGTAGCTGGGCATGGTGGTGCTTGTCTATAGTCCCAGCTACCTGGGAGGCTGAGGCAGGAGGATCACTTGAACCCAGAGTTTGAAGCTGCAGTGAGCCATGATGGCACCACTACACTCTAGCCTGGGTGACAGAGCGAGACTATGTCTCAAAAAAAAAGAAAAGAGAAGAGAAGAGACGAGACATGAATAGCATGATACCAAAGTATCACTCTCAGATATCACTTATTAGTCACAAGGGGTAAATATAATGGAGAGACCTGGATATCACAATTATAACCCAGTAATTAAGCTTAGCATCACTAATAGCTCGAAACCATATATATGTGCTACTGGTGTGATGCAGTATGAAAGACACAACATCACCTATGACATAGCCTTGCCAAAGATGTTCAGCCTGAAGGGAATGAAGCTTTTTGATCTAATTTCCAGTTCAGAGGAGATATAAAGAATAGAAAAACAAAAGCTAAATGTGAGAAAACCATCAGACAAACTCAGGAGGTGGATATTCTACAGACCAATTGGCCCACTCTCTTCAACAAGTAAGTATTATGGGGCAAAAAGTAGGATGTGTGTGGAGGATGTTCTAGATTTTTAAAAATTAAAAACATAACTAAATGTAATGTATGGTACAGCAAGATTTTGGTGGGAAACAATAAACTAATTTCTTGAGGGGAAGAAAAATGTTTATGAAGCTAGGACTATTAGGAAAAAGAGGAACCAAGGTTGGGAGGTGACTTTCTATATGAGAAATTAGGATATAATACAAAGCCACAGTAATTAAAACTGGGTTAACTGTGCAGAACTGGATGAATAGATCTATAGCGAAAATAGAGAACCCAGAAATGCCCATGAATATATGAGAACTTACTGTATGATAAAAGTTGGCATCAGATATCCATGGGGGAAAAGATAGACTATTTAATAAATGGACTGAGAAAATTAGCTAACTATACACAGAAGTATTAGGTTGGATCCCTACCTCATACTATTTTAAAAATATAACCCAAATATCTAAATATGAAGGGTAAACTATAAAGCTATTAGGAAAAAACATAGGAAAATATACTTACATCCTGAAATAGGAAAGGATTTCTTTTTTTAAAAGACCAAAAAAGCACAATAAAAGGGTTATACAGGTTGAGTATCCTTTATCTGAAATGCTTGAGAACGAAAGAGTTTTGGATATTTTTGGATTTTGGCATATTTGGATTATAATTCACAGTTCAGCATCCCTAATCTGAATATCTGAAATTTGGGATGCATTTCTTTGTCATGTTGGCGCTCAAAAAGTTTCAGATTTTGGATCACTCTAAATTTCAGATTTTTGGATTAGGTATATTCATCCTGTAATTGGTAGATTTGACCATATCAAAATGAAGGATTCTGTTCAGTGAAGAATACTAGAAACAGAGTTAATAGATAACAAACTAGAAGAGGCTATTTTTAAAAAGACTAAAACAGACAAAAGTCCTACCTACAATATACAAAATATACAAGGAATGTCTACAAATTAGAAGATAAAAAACCCCAATAGTAAATGGGCAAAAGGATATGAACATGCAATTCACAAAAGGGAGATCTTGAATGGTTAATAGCTATCTGATGGTCAATCTCCCTGTCATCAGATAAATGTTTACTAAAACATTTTGGTATACCACTTTATACCCATCAAGTCAGCAAAAATTAGAAAGTTGGATAATATCCAGTGATGATGTGGATATGGTAAAGCTGTTATTTTTTCATGCACTACTAGTGGGAAGGTAAACTTTTGTAGCCATCCTTGAGAATGGTATGCAATTTAATGGTATAAATTTAAGTAAGCCCTATACACAATAACACAGCAAATGTATTCTTGGGCATACATCCCAGAGAAACTTTTCCATGGTCCTCAAGGAGAAAGAATATATTCTTTGCAGTATTATTTATGATAGTAAAACAAAGAGACAAAGCAATCTAAGCTAATAGCATTTGGGAAATGGACAAGATATGGTACATGATAGAATATTATGCACAGTCAGAAATAACTAGATATGTATATAGCAACATGGAACAGAAGACATACAGCATGATGCCATTTATGTAAATGTATATATACATGTAGATATATGAAATCTTGAAAAACTTAAAACCCATGCAGGAAAGCACATGTTTATGTTACAAATGCAAGAGTGTGTACTTAATACACAAGTGGGAAGAAGAATGGAGTTAGAGATGGGGAATGGGGGAGAAACATACACACACATACATACACACACAACTGAAGAATGGTCTTTCAAGAATCAATGATAGAGGTGAACCATACATTAAGAAATATGAACAAATGAAACTAAAGTCCTAAAAAGGACAGAAAAGAATCCTATAGGAAAAAAATAAAGCCAATGTACAGAAAAAAATGATCACTTAAATAACAAGCTACAACTAACAAGCAACTTGGTTTGGTTACTAAGATAACAAGAAAAAAGTATTCTGATTCATTTGCTCTTAAAATTGTAATATGCAACATAAGCTTATTAAATAAACACAAAGTACTTCAGTCTTTGAATTCTACCAATAAGGAAAAGGAAAATGAGCTGAAAGAAATAACAATGAAGCAGACTATGAGAGTAACCAGCTTTTTCAACCTGAAACCTTTTAGAAATTATCAGCTCTAAGGACAGTTATGTTGCAGTCTCACAACAGGCATACAGCAATTATTACTGCCATTATTTGTCTCCTAGATGAGATAAAATAAGCCCGCAAACTAACCCTAAAATTTTAGGTCCCTAAAGGACAAAGGCCATGTCAAACTAAAATACTTTGTAACAACACTCAGCACAGAACTATTTTAAGTATTTAATGCTTTCTGATATATAACTAGATTATCCTCAATACCTCTACTATTTCAGCTTTTTGGTCTAGCACAGCTATTAAAATGAGCAACCCAGAAAAAGAACAAGATTAAGCCAAATTACTGTCAAAATAAGCTACCAAAATTATCTTCATTATTAGCATTGAGAGCAGAAGGCTATAAGCATCTCCTTCCATTCCTGTACCTTTGAACACTAATATACTTTGAATACAATAATACAATTTTGATTTATTATACCTCTCTAATTTACAGAAATGAATACAGAGTTAAGATCAGGAATCATAGTAATCTTTGAGCTTAACACAGTATGGCATACAAAACTTCTTCCACAAATGTTTGTTGAAATAAATGACTGATTTAATAAGAAAACTCAATTGGTAGCTCAGTATATGTTAAAAAATATAATTAATCTTACAATTCTTTTGAATAAAATAACCATGTATTAGCACATCTGAAAAAAAGGCAATTAATGATTTTAAGAGACATAAGGAAAATATGTAAAATATATTAGGTCAACTCACTCATCTTAGCTATGTCTGAGCTGAACAGAATCTACACCTATCTCTCATAAATGTATATATTCTAATCCTTACCAATGGGGGATTCTGGAGTTAGCCCCATGCTTTGCAGCAATGCTTCAGCTTCTCTTCTTTTTTTTTCAAGATCTGACTCTTCTTGCACAGGAGCCACAGCTTCCTTCTTCTGATCAGTCTAAAATTTTTAAGTTAAAAACTTAAGTTTACATATAGTATGAAACATTTCTGTTTTCAAAAAAAAATTATCTTAAATAATGTGCTAACACTGTATACTTTTAGGGCATGAACTTAGTTTTGAGTACAGATTAAGTTCCTTTTTATAGTCACTAAGTGAAAATCATTCTCAACAGAGTTCTAGTAAATAATGTACAAATGATATGTACTAAATTGAGCCACCTTTATATGTAAACAAGGAGTTTCCACAAAAATTTTTCTAACAGATAAATTCAAAAAGTACAATCAACTTCAAGTTATCTACAGTATGAAATTGCTGTCCATGGTCAGGAATTGGGGAAACCTCCATCCCAGTGGCACAAAAGCTTAAATATAAGTATCACAACACTATAAAAAAAGTTAAGAGGGAATTATTTAAGAGGCAACACATTTTAGGTAAATGGACAATTTGATTTGTTAAAAAAGTATGAATACCACAAACTTCCTTATACAAAGTCTTTTATTTTACTTATGCCACTTGATGTAGAGAGTTCATCAAAACTTCATCTGGATAAAGATTTTTATTTTTTAAACTACAGGTCTTTTTTATGATAATAAAAACATATGGTTGGGTTTGGTAAAATTAAAACTCACCTTTGCATAGCACATGACATTTTTGTTATGAAAATTTTTGCCAGCTTTTACTTTAGCCATTTACTTTAGTTTTATCAAAATCTTCTAGTTAAATGAGATAAACCCCAATACTCTCACCTGGAACATCTCAAGTAAAATTTAGGCTTTCAAGGGGAAAATGTATACCTCAAATGCCTGTGCCAACTAGACAACTATTACTCATACATTGTCTGGAATGAATTTTGTTAGCCATAATACCATTTTGACTTAAAGTCATCAGAAAATTTCATCTAAATAGCAAACAGGCTATATATTATTAAGTTGATGATTCACTGTCTAAAACAATATATTGGTAGACTCTCTGTTTAATACCATTGAATTATCTCTTGTAACGTTTTATAAACTTTTAATTAGATATCAATCATGTAATCTCTTAGAGGCTACTTATGGCCATCCTTTGAAAACAAAAATCAAATTTGCTCTTAACATTGAAGCATTTAAGTCTATAGACACTATTTTGGAATGGCTCTGACAGTCTGACTTATGCTTCTACCAGTGAGCTTTTAATCAAATAGCTAATGTAAAGTTTTAACTCTCTTATTACAGTGTATCATTAAAAAGTTCAGAAAAAACTAGCAAATTATTCAATTATAGACCTTTATAGCATCATAGCAATCCTGGAATTAAATTGTACCTTCAATTTTTCTACTATTGATTTTTCTTAGTTTTAGAGATTTTTGGCAGTCTTGGCTATTATTTAGGCTATCACATAAAAACTCGGTACTAAAGACGTACTCAGGACAAGCTAGCTTACACTGGCTATTTAAATCATAACAGTGATAAAAATAAACATATCTGTCTAAAGCAGGCGTCCTCAAACTATGGCCCGCAGGCCACATGCGGGTGTTTTTGCCTGTTGGTTTTTTTACTTCAAAATAAGATATGTGCAGTGTGCATAAGAATTTGTTCATAGATTTTTTTAAACTATAGTCCAGCCCTCCAACGGTCTGAGGGACAGTGAATTGGCCCCCTGTTTAAAAAGTTTGAGGACCCCTGGTCTAAAGAATTTCCATAAGGATAAAGAGTTTTAATGTGGGAACAAGTAAAATATCTCCAGCTCAGGGTCAACATATATTTGCTGTATACGATGAAATACATGATGCCCGAAGTCTGAATACAGAGGGCCTGGTTCACTTTTATGGTACTATCAAACCTACAACTCAGCAAAAATATTTCAATGACTACTTGATGATAAAAGAAATAAGAACAAATCCCCTAATCAATTAAGTCATCTATTATATATATTTCTGTTTATCATTAATACTATCCATTCTGACAAATTATTAGCAGTTTAGAGTAGTAAAATATTCAGATAAGTTCAGAACCCAAACTAAATTATGATTTGTCTGCCATATCTTAATGAGCTATGACAATACAGATGCCCCTTACTTTATTTAATAAATACATTCCTAGAAGACTATGTAAATTGAACTTTTATAAATCAAATCTTAGAAATACGTCAATCTATATGAAATATTTTTTACTCAGTAAAAAACAATCATATTTTAATTTACCAGTTTTGTCATTTTCAGTTATCTGGCTTCTTTAAAGTAAGATTTACTTATGGTGCTATATTTGTGGTCACATTGCTAGAATTTTTTTTTTTTTTTGAGAGTCTCACTCTATCACCCCAGGTAGAGTATAGCAGTGTCATCATAGCTCACTGGAACCTCAAACTCCTCAGCTCAAGTGATACTCTTGCCTCAACCTCCCAGAGTGCTAGGATTACAGACATGAGCCACCGCACCCAGCCACAACAGCTAGATTTTTACTATCCTGAAATTATTATGTAAAAGTATAAGTACTTGGAATAAAGCCCAATTGTTTTACATTAAGTTTGTTTAACAAAAAAAACCAACCAACCAAAAAAATCAAGCATACTTCTTTTTTTTTCCTTTCTTCTTCTTTTCTCTTCTTTTCCTCTCTGATTTGGGCCAATCGCTGCTTCTTCCGTTCCAACTCAGCCTTTAATTCACTTTTGTCCGACATGTTTGTGACCTTAAGAAGCAGAAAATCATTTAAAATAATCATTAGATTGGTAAAAGCAGAACATTTTTAAAAAATTAGTGCTTCAAGAAGAGAACTGTCCCATGAGGCCATGTAGTTCAATGCTATCTAAAGACCATATAAACCCTACTTTTAAAATAATGGAAGCATATATATATTACTGAGCTGAAAAAATTATAAACAAATGCATATAAGAAATTAAGCATAAGCTAAGCATAACAACAACTAGCACACACTAAGTGCTTTAATGTTCACATGCCCAAATTGAACACACTGTCTCAATGTTTTTTCATGACAATATATTAGGGCACTGGAGATAAAGGTCAAAACTAGCTATTTTTTTATTTTTTTTATTTTTTTGAGGCAGTCTCGCTTTGTTGCCCAGGCTAGAGTGAGTGCCGTGGTGTCAGCCTAGCTCACAGCAACCTCAAACTCCTGGGCTCAAACAATCCTCCTGCCTCAGCCTCCCGAGTAGCTGGGACTACAGGCATGTGCCACCGTGCCCGGCTAATTTTTTTTTTCTATATATATTAGTTGGCCAATTAATTTCTTTCTATTTATAGTAGAGACGGGGTCTTGCTCTTGCTTAGGCTGGTTTCGAACTCCTGACCTCGAGTAATCCACCCGCCTCGACCTCCCAGAGTGCTAGGATTACAGGCGTGAGCCACTGCGCATGGCCAAAACTAGCTCTTAAAACAGAAGACATAGGTTGGCATTAAGCTCTTATGCTATATGACAGGGATCAAAACTATTACCAGAGTTTTGCATTCATTCTTAGAAACTTGATAAAAAGCAATGAGGTCAAACAGAAAATTCCTGTAAATTCTACTTTTTTCTTTTTCCTGTAGATTCTAAAAAGTGCCATGGAAGTAGTAATATTAAAGACAAGCAAAACATAACAGTCACCATTATTAATTATCAAACTGAATGACTTATTTCTCCACGATAACACCTTACCTGCACCTCTTATGGTACTTTTAGCACATTTGTGAACACACCCGAAACGTTCCCTATTAGACTGTAATCTACTTGAAATCAGAGACTTGTGTTTTCGTAATTTTTGTTGCCTTCACAGCATCTGGCACAGTGACCTTAACATTAAATTGATACTGGCTAAATGAATAATGGATAAGGTAGACAGAATTACAGAGCTTCAAAAACCAATTACATAAACACTACTTCATCCTCAGTTTTAGAAAGAAGTAATGAATTAGGATTTTTTTTTAATTGAAAAAGTAGCCTAGCAGCTGAGAATAAAGTAGGCACCAGGAACTTGTTACCTTCTTTGAATGATTATTATAATGATCAATCTTTCTCAATGTCTCTGTACAATTGAAGTATTAAATGCTTTTGATTAAGAAAACTAGGAGAATAACCTCTGGAAAACTGTATTTAGAAGGAATCTCTTAAAAAACACAATTATTAAATCATAATAAAGGTAAGTTAGTCAAGAGGAAAACTCCATCTACTAATAAACACATAAAGGAAATTTCAGCTGTAGTACTCCATAAAGACTGGCATGCTAGTTGATAATTTCAAGTATACAAAAACAGTAAAAAGTTGACGTGGCTGACATATATATATATATATGTATATATATATATATATATGCACACACATCTACCAAGATTAATTTGAACAAACTAAAAAAGAAAACAAGAGAACGTGTTTCTTAATCCGCCCTTTCTACACCTCTAAACAGCTCCATACTAATAATAGCTGTTGAAGAGAACTTCCATACTGTAGGCTAAGCTAGACACATTATTTTTTGTTCAGCGTCAACTGTAAAATAGATACCAACAATAACTGATATTAAAGTAAGTACATTTTAAGTCAAAACCTAAGAACAAAGTTTGACCAGCTGAACTAGAGAGCTGACCAACCCTCTCATCCTCAAAGAGACCAGAGGCTCCATGACTGACACGTTCAGTTTCTTAAAACTCCAGGAAAGTCTCCAGAGTTTTGTGCAACAATCTCCTTCTTTGGGGACTTTCTAACATACACAAGGCGAGGGGAAATGCTATCAATGCAAGTTAAGTAATGACTTTTATTTTTAAATGAAGCAAAGCGAAAAGGAATCACTTTCTCCCCTGAGGTCACAGCCAAGAGGGCGCGGTCCAGGCCAGGGCGCCGGGGAAAGAGGCCAGTGGGCGCCAAACAAGTCTCAAGGCCCCGCAGGCCGCCTCTGGAGAGTCAAGAAGGGAAGGGAGCGGACTCCTCTCCCCAGGCCGCACTGAGTCACCACACCTGGTTCCCCATGCCTCTCCTCCCCAAAGCCCGGCCGGGCGGCGCTGTCAGCAGGAACTGCCGAGCTGCCCTTCGAGTCCCAAGGTGGGACACAGCAGGGAGGAGGGCCTTGAAGGAAAACACTCAACCTACCTTTCAGGTGGCGGGATGGGGAAGTTCTCCCGCCTGCAATTTCTCGATAACGTCCCTCTCCTAAGCCCCCAACGCCAACTGTCGCCACCACTAGCTCCGCGGTTTCCCGAAGCACACAAAGAGGGATGGGCGGTGGCTGCTACGGCGAGAGCTAAGGGACAAGTGACTCACCAGAACGAAGTCTCTCCCAGAAAAAAGGGGTGGGGCCCGGCTAAAGGGTACTGTAGCCCCTCTGTGACTTACCCGTTGTCAAGCAGAAGCCAGCAGGTTAGACGAAGAACCCAGCCAGCCTAGGAGCCTAAAAGTTTTTCTGCTCTGCCAGAAACTGGAAAACTACACCTTATAATATCCTCCGGCTGGATATGCAATTACCCACCTCGCCTTCCCAGCTGACACGCACGAGAACTACAAGCCCCAGCAACGAGGGAAACTTGCGTGCGGCGAGCAGTGCCTTCTGGGAATTGTGGTCACTGGTAGTCGCACGGTATGCTGGGATATGTAGTGTGTCCTGGCCTTTCCGCTTCCCACTTCAAGGCCTTCTTTCAAGATTGCGATATGAAACTTCTCTTTAATTTTTGCTTGCCGATTGGTCAGTGCTCACAATGTTTTATGTGTTATATCGTAAGATCCCTAACCCAACATTGGCAGAATTTTAAGAAGGGCTATTTTGCGGTGGTGAACCTGTGAACTACTATGCACATTTGGTGAAGTACATGTTTCAGGAAAGATACATTTTATATATATATATAAATATATCAGTTTTAGAAAAAAATGCATTATAGAGGTTTCATGTGGCATCTTAGGCAAAATGTAAATAAAAATATGTTAATCAGCACAGCAAATAATTCTCTAGTATTTTGTTGCATTGTGGTAGTATTTTGGTTTTCTCTCAGTTTTTGGAAAGTATGTATTTTAGGCTGGGCACAGTGGCTCACACCTGTAATCCTAACACTTTGGGAGGCTACGGCAGGAGGATCACTGAGATCAGCAGTTCGAGACCAACCTGAGCAAGAATCAGACCTCGTCTTCTACTAAAAATAGAAAAATTAGCTGGTCGTGGTGGCAAGCGCTTGTAGTCCCGGCTACTCGGGAGGCCGAGGGAGGAGGATCACTTGAGCCCACGAGTTTGAGATTGCTGTGAGCTAGGCTGATGCGACAACACTCTACTCAGAGCAACGCAGTGAGACTCTATCTCAAGAAAAAAATAAAAGCATTTTATGCTATTGGAATCTGAAGCCAAGCAAGACTGTTTCCACAGGTTTAGATTTGTAATATACAATGAAAGCAGAAGTTACTGGAATATGAATTTACCAGAAATGTATGGGTTAATACACATTTTTAAAGTTTATTTAAATAATTTAAAGCATTATTTAGCAAAATCCAAAGCTAGCACCAAAACAATGTCTTTCCTATGTTCTAGAAAACTAACTTTTCTAGTATCCTAGACATTACCCAAATTTAGGATTAACCCTTAGGATTCAAATTCTGAGTCCTTAGGCTTGTGATCTTTTTCTTATCTTTCTCTGCCAATACAGCATACAAGATAAATATCTTGGAAATGAATTTAAGAAAGATAATCCTTCAAATTCCAAGACTTTTCCCCATAACCTAAAATTCCAAAGAACTTTATGACTTTATTTGATTTCCTAATATTTAGTTTTCATTTATTCATTTGAAAAAATTATTATTGATTGCCTGAAATCACACCTGCCAGAAATGGTGCTGGGTGTTATATATAAGAGCTGAAATGCACATCTTTCCTCTCAAGGGAGAAAGGGCACTCAACTCCACTAAGTATAGATGTTCCCTGACTTATAATGGTTTGACTTAAGACTTTTCGATGGGTTTATTAGAGTATTAAATTCATTTTTCACATATGATATTTTTGACTTTTGATGAGTTTATCAGGATGTAAGTTGAGGAGCATCTGTATTATGATGGGATTAAGTAAGGAAATGATAGAAACACCTGGAAAAACTTTTCAGGAAACTTTCAGGAGGAGGTGATTCCAGAGCTAAATCTTTGATTCTGAAAGATTGAGTAGAAGTTAACCAAGCAAAGAAGATTCAGAAATATGCCTTGTGAAGAAGAAAGAATATAGCCAAAGAGCAGAGATGTGAGAGCATGGGATACTGGAGAATCTGGAAATACTCCAGAATGACCACAGGCTAAGATAAGAACTGGGGAGTGAAGCCAGGGCAAGGTCACACATACCAGTTTAGATTTATTCCCACAGATGACCTGAATCCACTGACAGATTTTAAGTGGGAGCATGATATGATAAGGTTTGCATTTTGGATAGTTGGCCTTTCAAAATGGTCTGGAGAAAGGCTGACGTACTGATTATTTTCTCTGGGTCCCCCAGATTCATTTCCTGCCCTTCTCTGCTAAGCTCTATGCCTCTGGGGGTTCTTTACTCAGCTTCTTTAAGGACTGCCTTGTGGTTCGGTTTGACCTAAGAAAGGCTTAAGCAAAGGTATCAGAAGGCAGGTAGAAAATGAAGTTGGGGCATTTCTTCCCCACTCCTTCCCCTTTTGACGTCACACCTCCAGCAATAGCTTCATCCCTTCATGACAAAACCTCCTGCTAGATGTGAATTCTGTTTCTTGCTGAGACTTACTGATACAGCTGGCTTGAGGGGATGAGAAATGGAGAGAAGAGGCAGGGTATAGCACAGAAGCAGGAAATGCAGTTGGAAGACTTTTGGATGGAGCCAGCAATTCTAAGTGCATGAAGTAATGCATTATCAGTGGGAATTAAGAGAAGCATATGGATTGGAGAAATGTTATGGTTATGTAAGACTTTTACAGCAATAAAACAAACTAGGTACCCCAACTGACCTTCCCACTAAAAACCACTAAATATGCTGGATAAAACATACCTTCCTTCTTGCTTCAATGAGTTGGCAAGAAAGTAAGGCGTACTTAGGACAAAGGAAGGTGGGAACCTACAGGGTATTTGCCTAACCTGGTGAACTTCACAGCCTTACAGGGTCAGAGCACAAGAGACAAAGCTGAAGGCCTAAACTAGATTTTAAAAGGAAACCTCCCAATAAATCTTTGAAGTAAGAAATCCACCACCATCTCCTACCTTCTGGAAAATTGCCCAACAACCTTGGCACTGAGTGGGATGGGAATGAGGCAGATCTCCCCTGAGAATTTGCAATCACAAGCAGGCATTAACAGGACAAATCTGTATCCTGAAATGTCAGTACCTGGATGGTTTATAAAATCAGAGACTAAAAAGTTGGTTTAAAGTTGTTGCAGACTTTTCATGCCCTCCAGTGACTGGGAGAAGCAAATATATATTATTTTTGAGGAACCCATTCTTATTCCAGGCTTTGAAGAATTCTACATAGATAAATATGAGCTCAAAAATCATAAAATACATGAAAAAGGGCCAGGCGCGGTGGCTCACGCCTGTAATCCTAGCACTCTGGGAGGCCAAGGCGGGTGGATTGCTCGAGGTCAGGAGTTCAAAACCAGCCTGAGCAAAAGTGAGACCCTGTCTCTACTATAAATAGAAAGAAATTAATTGGCCAACTAATATATAGAAAAAATTAGCCAGGCATGGTGGCACATGCCTGTAGTCCCAGCTACTCGGGAGGCTGAGGCAGGAGGATTGCTTGAGCCCAGGAGTGTGAGGTTGCTGTGAGCTAGGCTGATGCCAGGGCACTCACTCTAGCCTGGGCAACAAAGTGAGACTCTGTCTCAAAAAAAAAAAAAAAACATGAAAAAATAAGGCACCAAAGCAAGGGCCAATCAACCAACCAGACAGCAGAATAAGATCCACAAAGACTTAAGTTTCAGAATTATCAGAGATAGAAAATAAAATAAATATTATTAACATGTTTAAAAAATAAAAGGAGAAACCAAAATATGAATGAAATGGCAGATTTGAAAAAGAACCATCTAGAACTTCTAGAAATTAATAACAGAATAACTAAAATTAAAAACTCAACAGATAAATTGAACATAGCTAAAGAAGGCAACACTGCCCTTACACCTAGGCAATAGAGGCCCGGTCTCTGGCCCTGTACTTTGGAGTCTGCTCTGCCCCTTGTCCAGCCACAAAGGCTCTGCCTGGCTAAGGATATGGCCAATCACATGGAGTCAGTATTCCTCCTTCTAGACAACATTCTAGACAATAACACCAGGGACCCTGAAATTCCCAGCTCAATGGCCCTAAGCCTGCTTCCTGCTTCCAGTTCCTTATGCAGACCTCTTCCCTAGGTCTATCCTGAGGGTAGACTACACCCTTGGGGATGGCCAAGAACTGGCCCTTGTGGGACCTGTGGCTGGAACTTGGATATGTAGGTTGTGTATGTAAATGTGTATATTCAGTGACCCTTGCATGGCAGTATGGAGCTGAAGACAGAAAGAGAGGTCTTAAGGCTGGCAGTTAAAAATCAGCTCTTGTTGTGCCACTACATTATAGGGCAAAGCTTAGGTATCCAAAAATTTTAAATTCAAACCTGGCCTTTGTCAAGGCAAGAGGTGGAATATATTTTATTTAATTCTTTGTTAGCTTGATTTATTTGTAAGTATGTCTATATGGTATGTAGCCTTCCATTTGTGCCCTTGCCCAGGGTCCTAGAAATATTAGGGGCAGGTCTGAAAGAGAAAAGTTGTGTACTGAAAGATAATACTAGAGAAATTAGCCAGATGCAGAGTAGAGATACAAAAAGACAATATGTAAGAAAGATTTAGGGACACAGAAGATGGAAGAAGAAAGTTTAACAAGCATCTAATGAAGTTCTAGAAGGTAAGGGGAAAGAGAATGGAGCAGAGGCAATATCTGAAAAGACAATTTTCCACAACTGATGAAAATCACTAGTCCACAGATTTATGAATTCCAATTTGTTTGCAAATGGGATAAATGGAAAGAAATCCAGACCTCAACACAGCATAATGAAACTGTTAAAAAAACAAACAAACAAAAAATGCTGGAAATAATCCAAATGTCCATAAGCTAGTGAATGGATAAAATTGTAACATACTTATAAAGTGGATCTCTACTAGCAACAGAGAAAAATGAGCTACTCATGTGTGTAGCGACATGAGTGAATCTTGAAAATATCGTGCTAAGTGCAAAGAAGCCAGGCACAAATGACTACACACTATATGATTGTATTAATATGAAATCCTAGACAAGGTAGGATTGTCTTTCCATGTATTTATATATTTATGTATTCCATGTATTTATTTCATTTCAGCAATATTTTTGGTTTTCAGTATAAAAGTCTTTCCTTCCTTGGTTAAAATTATACCTAAGTATTTAATTCTTTTTGATGCTATTATAAATGGAATTATTTTTCTTAATTTCCTTTTTGGATTGTTCATTGCTATTGTATAAAAATACAACTAAGTTTTGTGTGTTGATCTTGTATCCTGCAATTTTACTAGATTTCATGTGTTAACTCTAACACCTTTTTTGTGGATTCTTTAGGATTTCCTAA